GTATATTACATTAATTGCATTAAAATTATTCATTTTTCTGTCTATTGAGTGTCTTTCAAGTCAATTTAAGTATGCAGAATCATAGAAGAGGATAGAAAGAACGGTTGACAATAAAGACAACATTAATAGTTGTCTAGATGTCTTTAAAGTGGTAAATTTCTGCTTTCATGTTCAGAATTCAACATTGTGTAATATACCAACGCTCACAAAAATCCAAATATTTCATTAATTAAGGCATGACAAGATGCGTAAGTTAGATAGAATGAAAGAGCTCGGCGTTTTACACAAGTTTGTGAAAAAATTGCAGCTGCAAAGTTCTCTAATTAAGAGAAAATTCGATTCAAAGATGAATATTTTAGAAAAATCAATCCGTGCCCATATAGCACAGCAATTCTTTATCTTTTGAGGAATATTTCATTTATATTTGGTTATTTAAAAAACTTAAAACGGCCCGTTAACGGCCGTTTTTGAAAATAAAAAACGGAAAACGGCCGTTTTCGAAAATGCCGTTTTTCAGAAACCCTATACCTACTACTATACATGCCTGCTTTTTTTTAACGTGTTATGTTGATTTTTTCCCAGTGTTTCAAACACAACTAGGCATTGCATAAAGTCATTAGTTAACAAAATTCTGTACAAGCATTTGCTTGCCAAGAACAGACACAAAATATATTTTTTTTGTTATCATGATCGAGCACAAGAAAACATCAATCAATGTATGTATTTTATCGATTCATAACACACATTTCATTATTTGGGCTTGCTGGGTGTTTTGATCAACGTTTGTGGACAGAAAAAAAAACTACATAATTCTTGTTATTGAATAAAAAATTGCTTGTGTGTTTTCTTGAACGTACAGATAATATTTTTTAAGATAGTTGAATCTTTTTTTTTCGCTCTCAGCTTGTTCTCTGCAGGTTAGTTACTCTTGTTATTCTTATTAATGCTTTTTCAGCTCTTTTTTTCTTCCTTTCTTTTCTCTACACATCACTAAATTAATGTTTATACCAGTTTATACATATTACTAGTGATTTCTTAAGCATACATTTGATGATTTCGTGTTTTCCGTTCATGCGAGGGGCCCATTCGCCAGTGACGACTGGTAAACATTTTTAATTGTTTTGCAATTTCTTCTAATCCTCAAATACCCCCAAATTATAACACAAAAAATTGATTTTTTTAAGAATTATTTCCAACTTTTAGAGACCCCTTCAGCATTGGATGCCATAAGCAAATGATCCCCAAGTAATATCAAGTAATATATAATAATTTTCGGTGGTTTTCTCTCTATCATTCTGTTTTTCACTCCTGCTGTAAGCTTGTTATGGCAGATAGAATATAAAGAATGTACGAAAGCGTATAATAAAAAAAACAAACAAATTAATTAATATTCAATCATTTGGATGGCCGAGGGCTTGTCATAAGTATGAACCGTTCTCTACAATTTTTGGGGGCTCTCAATGTGAAATCATTTTTTTATAAGGAATAAAAATTTTTATCTTGAATTTTTATGAAGAGGGAAAAAATTACTCAATCATGTGGGACTCTCTACCGCGCACATCGTTGATTGTTTTGAGTGATGATTATTGTAGTTTTTCAAGAGCCATCGACAAATTTTGTTTTTTCATGTTCACAAAATGAGTGAATAATTCATGAGAAATCTCTTCACAAGCTCTTCACAGCAGCACTGTGTGACTACGTACTTACTTAATAGTCAGATATATCTTAAATGATGATGAAAAATATTGTCATGAAGTCAGTAAAACAACAGAATTTAAAAATATATGTATAAATTAAAGGAAACGAAATGAAACAATTCATTTATCAAGTATTTATGGACGGAATCTCATTAACGTTTTCACCTTGTTTCACATTTTTTTAAAATATTTCTCGAAGGCGTCTGCAAATTTGCTTGCATGAAAAGCCAAAGCGCATTATTGGATAATTGATTAATTGGCATCTTCAGTGTTATTTAACTGATTAATAGTTTGATGAAATAGTTGAGAATTCGAATGAAGAAACTTTGGTCTGTAGTCTTAAAACTGAATCTCTGGATTAATCGAATGGAATCGAACCCATGACAAACGGTAAACTTTCAAATACCGAAACAACAAACCCACTTATCCACAAAGTTACTTCACCTCAACTTACAATTGTCTACCATAAAAAAATCAATATCCAAAGAAACATCAACCCAGTCCGTCAAATCAGACATTAAAAATTCATATACCCCGTAAATCGCACGCAAGAAAACAGTACACGATGACTTTTTTGACATGTAGGCTGCTATGAGTTTGTGAAAAAGGAGGTACACAAATGAGTGGAAAGAAGAAGTGGAATATATTTAAGCAGCAAGTAAAATAATAATAGTTCTTAACTATTTATGACTGTGCATTTGTAAGTTGGTGACTTTTCGAAAATTGTTTTTTTTTTTTTTTATTTCAAGCATCTCTTTCGACTTCTTCATTCTCCCTGTTTCTATTATTCTTAATATTTTTTTTAACAATGAAAAGTCTATAATCAGGTAGAAAAAAAAATTATCTCTGATAGAAATCTCTTAAAGATGTTACACACATACAGTCATATGATTTCATTCCTCCTACAAGGTCACTAAAGAATGCATTTTGGGTTCTGTGTATTGTTTGTGTTAACTTAGAAAAAACAGTTTTTACTTTGGCATCAACTTTTTTATTTTTTATTTTTTTATTCAAAAATCTGTAAGAAAAATAAACATTCAATTTCCTTGGAAGTCCCCATATATGCACGAGAGAGAGAACTAAATGAGAAAGAAAAGAAACAACACACAAAAAAATTCCATATTGGACCCGAGAAGAAAAAAAAAAATATAAGCGACAGATAAAAATCTGAGTCTCCGTATGTCGTTTTTTTTTGGATTGCGTCTTGTTTTATTTATTGAATTTTTTTCATTCTAAAAACTCAGTTCAGAGTTTGCAAGCTTTGGTCTTTTATCGAGAAGAAAAGAATGAAGGCAAAAAAAATGAACGATTTTTAATTTATTCTTTAAATTCTGACTTCATTAGCTATGTGTTGCTTGCTTGTGTGCCAATGAATACAGGAATATAAATTCAACTGAATTTTTAATTTTTCCTTTTCGTTCCAAGTTTCTTTTCTTACTTCATCGTCACGAGAATGATCGAACGTTTTACAAAATAGATAACATGAAAATAAAATACATTTTTTTTTTTGTTCAATCGACCTTTTTACCATTATTTTTTGAAGTCTTCTACTCCAACTTACTTCAATTTCTGCTCATTTAATTCTCTTCGATTCCAAAAAAAAAAATTGTCTCATTAACAACGACATTCAATTCGTTAATTGGATGAAACTTATTGAACTGATTTCATTAGAACAACGACAAAATAACAAAAATATATTCATTAAATTACGATTATGAAGCTTTTGCGCGCTTCACGGATTTTAATTAAAATTTAATCGTTTTTTCAGTTTTATTTTTAATTTACTCATATCAGCATAATTTATGAGGAATAAGTTGATTTGTGTGCTTGCTGTATTGATACGGTAAGCGAAACAAAACGGAATTAACGTTTAATATTATCAGTGAAGAGTAGTTCGTAAGTACTTGTTGTAATCCAACGACTGCAAACAAGAACTCATTTTCGGAAATAGGTACTTCATTTTCGAACTTGATTTGAATTTAAAATTTCCGTTGAAAATATTTGTTTACATTTCTTGGTCTTTATTGAATTTATAAAATTTAATTTTTATAAAATGGTCAGAAATTGTGTAATTACTGGTTGTAAAGGAAAGAAAACCAATAAAATACCTTTGTTTTAAACTTTCAAAAAGCTCTGTGCATAAAGACAAGTTGATTGAATTTCTTAAATTGCATAATATTGAATATTGCTGTGAAAAAAAACATTTCTTGTGTATTCTTGAATTTATTTATAGACAGCTTAATTGTTTTACCTTATGTTCTGATCCTTCCTTTAACCAGAAATTCATTAATACAGTAATTGCACAAATTGAAGTCGATTTTAAACATTGTCAAGATACAATTCATAAATTATTAAAAGTTTTTGTTGAATTTAGAGTAAAATTACAATTTCAAAGTCGATTGGTACATAGAAGGAATAATTTTGCTTCAAAAAATAACTATAATAAATATATTTTTATTAATTCCCTAACGATCATTTATTTTTTAAAAAATTTAATAGTTCGAAACAGTTCGAAATTTTTCGAATTTCAGTTTGAATTTTTCGAATTTCAGTTTGAATTTTTCGAATCTAACTGAAGTTTTCTTTGTTTGCAGTCGTTGGGTTGTAATCATTATATTGTTACTGTCAGTGTTGGTTCCTTAAGTGTCTGGGTGCATTAAGTGTTATTGTAGGAGATAATAACTCACTTAAGGAGCTAGCTTGGAGTTTTTGATATGAGGAACTTAGACTTCAGTGGATTAAAGCTAAGTTTTGGGTAAAACCATTTTAGAAACACTAGAATTGCACAGATTTAGTCTTGTCTGACTTACAAGGAGACTGGACTTCATGTGTAGACAGTCGCGTAGCCAGGAGGGTATTGTCCCCCTCTTAAGCGTTTTAGGCCGTGCTCTCGATACGGTTCAAAATGTTTAAGAGAGAAACAAGACCATCTAGGCTAAGCGCCTGTATTTAGACAATGTTCTAGCTTGAGCATCTTTATTTTGTTTGATCAAGGATCATATTTATCACATATAATTCTTGTCTCAGATTCTATCAAGACGAGACACCAACGCTGGACGTATTATTAAAAATAGAGGTAGGTAATAAGTTTTGCAATATAAATACTATGAAATAAAAAAACAGTGGAAAAGACTGTAAGTGTTTTCGTGATAAGAAACGCAGAAAAGTTTACGATATCATGTTTTGCTTATCATCGAACAGTTTGTTATCGGTTAACTTTTTTTTTCGAGTACAAAAAAAATATGTAAGAAAGAAGTTGGAAAAGGGAAGCAAAAAAGCTAATTTTTCAAAGTTTCTACTTGCCTTCAACTATTGCAATTATGATTTCTTCATTTCCATTTATCTTAAACTAGAGCTCCAATTTTTCTTTATTTCGTTTCTCTTTATACTCTCTATCTCAACTGTGAGTATACACAATATTCACCATACACTTATTATTTCATGTTCTTTGATGTGAATTGTATATAGAGCGAACTAAAAGTGGATTTTTTTTTCTCATTTCATTTTTTTTTTTCTTCTATTCCAATTTATTATGGAAATATCCCTACTTCACATCAATTGACTTAAGTCTGGCTTTTCTTGTACTTAATACTGAAACTGAAACAATTGTCTCCCTATCTGCAAACTTCCATTATTTTTGTCACCATCTCACATCATCAGCAATAAGGCAGTGATATGAGTTTTTATTATTATTATTATTTTTCTTCACGTAGCTGCTTTGAACGGCGTCTCATAAAAGATTTGAAGCATAAATTTTTGTGTCTAGTTGAACGTATAGAAGTATTATGTTTGCAGATTTCTTTTCATTCTATAGTTTTCATAGTTTTGAACACATTATTGTTCATATGAATCCTCTTTACTTCTTTATGCACTCACAGTATGTACACTGTCTTCATTCACTTATATATTTTTTTAGTAGTTCCTTCTCTCTTTTACACACAAATATCTTTTTCTCTTGTATTTTATCATTTATGTCTGGAAAAACACGATTCGCATGAATTAACAAACTCTCTGCTACATTTAATACGAAAATAAACTCTGATTTTATTTGTTTATCACTTGAAAATTATTTTCTTTCAGATTTCATTCACACAATGTACAATCGTCTAGCAATAAAATCGGAAAAAATTCTCATGTTTATGCAAAGTATAGAAAAATTTCTTTCATTTTGTTATACACAAAAAAATATAAAGTTAGAGGTAAAAAAAAAGATTCTCAATACAAAATATTTTCTACTCTCTTTTCGCATAAATACCACACAATTATTTATTTACACAATTTTCCTACACTTAACTAGTTTAAATTCGATCAGATAGTTCATTAATTTTGATTAAATATTATAAATAAATGCCGAGAATATTTCTTTCTTGTCTAGTTTCTTGAAAAGTTGTGTTGTGACTGAGTATTTGATACGCTTTACCATCGTCACTCATGTATTCGTTCTCTACAATCGGATATTTTTTTACGACACGTTGTGGAGAATACCCACATTTTGAAATGCACAACCGTTATTTTGAATGTTCACGTGCTCGAGTTAAAGGAAACGAAACTTATCTTAAATTTTTTGAAATTAATGTTTTTGACAGAAATTTAATTTAATGGGGTCGATCTTTAATTTTGTACAATTTTCTGTAGAAACTTCCATTGCTCAACAGATACAATGAAATCTTTACAAAAGTTTAGAATGAATGAACGTAATTGAATGTCGTTTCAAACAGGGGTAGCCAAATGGAGCGGGGAGGGTGCAAGGGGTGTTTATGTTAGAATTCTTAAATACTTAACTGTGGTCGTTTGAGAATAAAATCTCAAAATCAGGGCTCGCGAGGAATTTAATACGCTTTTAATACGATAATAATACGATTTTTTTAAAATCATGAGTGTTTCAACTCCTTACTAGCCTTACTCAAAATTCTTCAAGAAAATCTCAAAACCCTTCAAGAAAATTTCAAAAAACCTTTACCTCAACGCCCATGCCTCCAAGAACCTAAAGAAAGATCCAAATCTCTCTTTTAGATTCCAAAACATTTTATAAAAGATCCGTGCTATAATTTTATTTCAGATAATTAAACTTTATCAGTAGTGCCCCCCTTCTCCAGCGAATCTCATGACATGATGTATACACAATGTTTCATTGCATTCCCATGAAAATTTATACCACATTGAGTTTGTCATGAAAAAGATTTGCAAGCGATAAAAATCAGTGAATTAAATAAAAAATTCATTATAATTTTAAAAGATGAGAAACAGGTAAGAAAAAATCAGCATTTTGGCCAATCAATAAAACAAATATTAAATGAATTTATATAAATGTCACAACACTCCAAGACAATAAATAAAAAGTGAGATATAATCATGTATGAAGGCAGGCACAAGAGAAGAAGAGAGAGAGAGAGAGAGAGAGAAAATATCTTGTTTAGTATAAATTACTTTTCTCAAATTTCAAAAAAAAAATAATATTATTATTCGTCCAGGGGAACTGAGTGAAAAATGTCCACGATGTCAACTGATAATCGATTAAAGGCACCTTATTCAAGAGTGCGAGAAGAACAGGTTGTGGATAAATATTAAACCTCTGTAGAATTGACAGACATTAAAATATAAATTTATATCCGACAGACCTGACTATAACTGACTTTAATTTATTCATATTTTGTTCTCGTCGTTTTTTTTTTTGTTGAGAAAAACGATCATTTCATGATGATATTTTTCTGATTGTAGTATTTGTTATTGGTTGGCCCCACGTTTAAAATGTGGCATTCCACATTTGAAATTTTATATTTCTCTTGAATTTTTTTTTTTTATATTCCTTCGGATCAATTCAGCTCTCTTTATGTTTGTTTTCGTGGTGTGATAAAATGTTGAAGATATAAAAATGTATTTTCTTACATTAATCAATTGATTATAATTGATTATGTTTTCTTTTCGCTCCATTCACCTTACATTTGTTTGCTTTACGATCATATTTCAAAAAAAATATATATTTTATTATTTATTTATTTATTTATCTCTCTATCTATACTTATGCCACCTTAGCAGCAGACGAAACTCGTTTTTTTTTTTATTTCACATTATTTGAGCTAGCTATCTAGAATCCATTAATCCAGTAGTTTCTACATGTGTGTATTTTATACACTAATTATGTATGTAACATGACTTCGAAACTGATAAACTTAAACTCTTTTTTCACTGGGCTTTGACGTAAACTCTATACTCGTTGGTTTGTCATAGGCTTTCGATGCTTTTCGTTTGATTTACACAAGTGCTTATAATCTATGGCAAGATAAAGCAGGGACTAGTGGAAGTGTTCATCTTATTAAAGTATTTATGCATTGGGAATGTCAGCCTATGATATAACCTATGACAGAAACTTGAATTAGAGTCATTGTCTGACTAAGTTTTGAACCTAGGGTTGTCTGGTAAGTTGCGCAATTTCTTAGCAGCTTATACTCTGAAGCACTTCTTGATTCAGTCATTTTATTTTATAATAGCTACTACAAGACTTTAAATAACTACAATACCAAAGAGGTCTGTAGAGTAGTTACCCAATAAATGCTCCAGTTATGAAAATATCAGGACAAACTCTCAAAAAAGATCTAAACCATCCCGCTGATAACTACGCAACCTGATATTCTACGCAAATGACCATTCAAAAAAAATGTTTACAAAAACACAAAATTTTTTTCCTTTGATTTTCAGCGGGGATCCTCATGTATCTGTTTCTGTATTTATTTCATTTTCGTCATTATATTTATCATTCGTAAGCATGTTCATTCTCACCTTTTTTTTTATTCATTCCATTCCATTGCATGTCACTTTTATCAAATTTTTTATAAATTCCCAATCTTTCACTTCTGGTTGTGTCTCTTTTAAAGACTACAAAATGTGCCTTAATCCGTACTTATTTAAATGAAGTCGATTTTTTATTATCAATGATCTTTTAATTTTCATTTTAATTTGGTTGGAACTTCTTGTGGTCACGAATTTTATTTTGTATGTTTGTTTCTTCTTCAATCGAATTGAATTATAAATGTTGCAATTCTATATTCACACAATAAAAATCATCAAAAAAAAAATATTCAAATCACATATACTCAACAAGCAAATAGGAATGAATTTTAAAGATTATTATCGATATAAAAAAGCAGAGACACTTGGGGGGATTCTGTTATGACGTCCAAAATTTAAGATTCTTGATTAATTTCAGATTTAAGAATGAGAAGTATTAGTTATTGAATATTTTATTGTTGGATCTAGAGGAGATCTTCTGTAACCGATTAGCTAGCCAACAAATCAAAAATCTTTAAAATCCTCTTTGAAACACTCAAAAGAATAAAAATCAAAACGTTCCAAAAGACATCATTTCCAATCGACCCCATATTAATTTTCAACATTTTGCGTTAACTGATTTACCAAAAAAAAAACTATTATCCATGAAACATGATCTGATTGAATATTGATCAAAAAATACTTCAGAAATGAGCTTCATGGACTGTGTGGTCGTGGATCTGTTATTGTTCAAATTCAAATCAGCCATCAAAATATACAACTCCACTGCGAATTCCTGCAGAGAATGTGTGCTCTCTTCAAAATGATATACGTACATCTAAGAGGAAAAACTTTCTTGCTTTACGAATATTTTATAAGTGTCTATATATCTTCTGACTGAATATTCTTTTTTTTTTCCTTTTTTTTCTTGAAACAAAATGTGTTTTGAATTTTTATGCTAGTTTTATACTGAGAAGCTACACCAATTTTCCTTTGAGGAGAGGCATAAAGAAGTAATCGACTGTTTCGAATGTAAATCAATAGGCAATAATTTATCGTTTCCGAGCGCGGGTGAAAGAATTTGTTGCGCAATTTCTGTTTCTTCTTCTATTGGCTTGCCTTGTCTTAAACAATTTTCAAGTTTTTTTTGACAGAATTAAACGCTGTATTTATAACTTAATTTGGTATTCACTTCTGAACAATTCTCACTGAGTTCTCAGAAGCAAGCATATGAAGAGAATGTTTGTTTGTTTATTGGGAATTATTAGGGATTAATCATGTACAGAAGAATTTATTAATTCAAGGTGTATAAATTTAATATTCAGTCTAGTTGACACCAAATGACTAATTTTAGCTAACTGTTAAAATTTGATATTCGCGTATAAGATTTCAAAATTTGAATACGAAATTAGTTTTACAGGTTTTCGCTCCATGAAATTTATTTTTATGGTTGTTTGAGAAATGAATTCTAACGTAAAAATCTTATCATTGATAATAATTGGACAGAGTTGTTGTTCATAAATGCCAAAACTGATAGTATAGATATTCTCATTTAATATTAAGATCCAAACGTCTGATAAGTGACAAAAAATATTTATTAATTTTTTAATGTTCTTAATTAATATCCGTCATTTAATGAGGCTTTTACTAATCAGTTGATAATCGTCTCGAATGACTACTTTATAACAAGTTTTTAATGTTTCTTTAATTTTAACATGTCCATCAACAAAACCTGAGCATCATCCATTAAAGTTGAAGTCGTAGAAATTGAAATTTATTTAATCTCAAATTTCACATCTCATCATTCACTATATTATCTACCCTAGTGTCTAATTTTCATGAAAAATTAAATAAACAATTTATAAATCAAATTGCCATTTTGTTACTTGAATTCTATCTTTGCCAGAGAGCATTCTGGCTGACTATTTCAATATTATGTTGTATTTTAATGTTATTTTATTATGTAAATATTGAAATTCAAGAGAACAAATTTGACTGAGAAATAAAAATAATTCATTGAAAGAAAGCAGTAAATAAATTGACAGATTTATTAGTTTTCACGCACCATGAGAATATATTCAGTTTTGTTTTCAATAAAGCATAACTTCAATGATGATGGCAAATGAGAACAAGAAGAAGAAGAAATAAAAATTAACAATTTAATTAAACCGAGCGAAATAAACATATGCAGCATTGCTTAATAAACATGCAGGAGTATTGTAAATAATTTTTTTTTAA